CAAATTTTGATGATTTCAGAGTGTACTGTGTAACTGTAACATCATTTTCAAGTTGTTTTTGAGTGTCTATCTACGAGTGTGCCGCTACACTGGGCTCTAGTTGCTGCAGCTAGTTCATTCCCCACTTCAACTCTTTCCCCAGTCTCCCCACCCACCCCTCCCCACCCCTCCCCACCCCTCCCAACCCAACTTTCCCACCCCTTCCCATCACTCTCCACCCCTCTCCTCTCCCTGAATGTCTTCCACTCCAGAGTGCGGCGCTCAAAACGGCAATAGCATCTGCCCTAACGGTCTCTGCTGCAGCATCCACGGCTGGTGTGGCTCCACCCTCGACTACTGCGGCCCTGGCTGCCAGTCCCAGTGCTCGCTTTCCTCCTCCTCCCCCTCCCCTCCTCCCCTTCTCCCTCAACGTCCCCCTCCCCGCCTCCCCGTCCACGTCTCCCTCCCCACCTCCTCCTTCCACGTCCTCTCCCCCGCCCTCCTCGTCTGGGCTGAAGCGGATGGCGTATTTTGTCAACTGGGCGGGCATGGACCCATCCGTCATTCCCGCTGCCAGCCTCACGCATGTCTTCTACGCCTTTGCGCTCATCGATTCCTCTACTTATCAGGTACAGTATCTGATAATACTGTACCTGATAAGTAGAGGAATCGATGAGCGCAAAGGCGTAGAAGACATGCGTGAGGCTGGCAGCGGGAATGACGGATGGTCCATGCCCGCCCAGTTGACAAAATACGCCATCCGCTTCAGCCCAGACGAGGAGGGCGGGGAGAGGACGTGGAAGGAGGAGGTGGGGAGGGAGACGTGGACGGGGAGGCGGGAGGGGGACGTTGAGGGAGAAGGGGGAGGAGGGAGGGGAGGAGGAGGAAAGCGAGCACTGGGACTGGCAGCCAGGGCCGCAGTAGTCGAGGGTGGAGCCACACCAGCCGTGGATGCTGCAGCAGAGACCGTTAGGGCAGATGCTATTGCCGTTTTGAGCGCCGCACTCTGGAGTGGAAGACATTCAGGGAGAGGAGAGGGGTGGAGAGTGATGGAAGGGTGGGAAAGTTGGGTTGGGAGGGGTGGGGAGGGGTGGGAGGGGTGGGTGGGGAGACTGGGAAAGAGTTGAAGTGGGGAATGAACTAGCTGCAGCAACTAGAGCCCAGTGTAGCGGCACACTCGTAGATAGACACTCAAAAACAACTTGAAAATGATGTTACAGTTACACAGTACACTCTGAAA